GAGGACGGTTGTCCAAACATGCTCTGCAGCGAGTCCATGATCTCCTTAGCGGTGACCGTGTCCTCGTGCTTCTTGGCAAGCACATCAGATATGCTCGCCAAGATGTAGACCTTAGCCTTGTCATTGGCCTTGATCCACCTGTCATAGACGTTGCGCACCGCCACAGTGGCGTTAGGCGTAGGAGCTTGAGGACAATCCTCTTGCAAGACGAACCTAAGATCATCTATCACGAGAATAGTGTTTAGATTCGATTTCCATTGTTTGTAATTCTCGCCGTTAAGTTTTTGAGCGGCTAGGAGTGCAATAATGGAAGTAGACATGCTGAAAGTAAAAAACAAACCTATATCATTTTCATGCATTAGCTTTTAAACCCAATCAAATTTTAGCAAAAGTAATTAAGCACCCTAACAAAATTGTTTTGCAACGACGCTTCAGTGATTTAGAGCAACAGCTACCGTAGGGAAAACAGGTACTCCTTCACTGAATTGAGACGTTCTCAACTAAATTTTACACCAGAATAACTCTTATTCCTATTGTTGCGCCTCTGCTTAATAGCTAGAGGGTAAGTGCAAGTGCACACTGTCACAAGTAATAATCTGGAAATATTCCAAGTTCGTCATAGGGACTAGTTTTCTTTTAAAATTGATTTTTTAAACTGCTTGAATGAGCAATCGAGTTTGGGAATAAAAATTGGTGGAATTGTTGGGAACACGAATTACACACGGAAATAATAGAATTTAAAAGGCCAACCCCCTTACTACTATTTAGTTCTAAAATGATGAATTACACCTACCAAATGTGCCCGTATTACACTCAATTTATGCAAACTGGTTCAACTCCTATTCCATACCGCTTTTGGTTTGTTTCGAAGTTTAGGCTAGTGTTTACATATGTCTATGCAACTCTAGAATCCTAAATAAAGCAAGTTCTAACTTACGTTTAATGGGTAAGAGAGCCTATGTCTAGGATCTTGTTTTAGTTCTTATTTCTAAGTAACTTCCCGTTTTACCTTGATGAGATTCGTTTGATTCTAACCTTTTCAGAATTAAATTCAAACTAATGTGATTTAAACAAGTGGCCAAGAAGAAAATCAACTGGATAAATTGTATCAATCAAGATAAGCAAAGATAGCGTAATACGTCGTGCTCACTGATAGATGTAATTTAAATAGATGAACTAAACTTGTAGGAGGGTTGGAGAAACAATTTACCTACTCATGGAATTGATAGAAATTAAAACACAAGAGAAGATAACAAAAGAAATCATTTTAATTAGAATTGGAAAGAAAGTACAAAATGGAACAAATTGAATTGCAATAAAATAAACAAGAGTAATTGTCGAAAAATAATTGAAAACAAAACTTAAATAAAAACTACAAAACTAAAGTAGAAAGGAAAACAAAAGCATGGAAAATGAGATGTCTTGAAGTGATGCTTG